AATTATTCAAAGCAAGCGACAACGCACACGGTTATGGTGAAAACAAACCAATACTGGCCAATTTTTTGACAATTTTGCTGCTCTTGCCGATGCATTTTCTCCGGGGGAAGAGATTTCACCACACTTGTTGCAAAATCAATGCAGAGTACCGAAAAATGCTGCAGCATCTCTCAACTAGATACATGAGAGTCTAGACCACTCACAAAGGCAAATGTTGGCGCCCACATTACACAGTCCACCATGTTCTCTTCAAGTAAAATCCTCAGCGTATGTCGAGCACTGCAAATAACACTGTTGTGCCGAACTTCGACGATCCAGTTCATCTGGTTTCTAGTGGGATTATTAGGACTAGCGGGAAGTATCCAAATGCCAACAAAAAATTGGATTTTTTTAGGAACTTGTGCATAAATTACTTCCAATTTTACGGACAGCTTAGACTGTCAAACTTTGTAACGTTCTGGGTTTGTCGCCTAATAGGGCGGAAACTGGTGTTGACATACGAATCGGCGGTATTTGTGACCTACATTTACTGCACACGTGCCTTGCCGCCATTTGTAACAAGTGACAGAAATCATATGGACGGGCATTTCTCACACAAAACTCATGAAAACTACTCGGTTGCAAGAAAAAGTGAATCCTCTCTGGGCAAAAACAAAGGAACTACTCGGTTTTGGTGGTACGTCATGTAAACCGGGCAGTTGTTATAATGCACCAAAGCTCTAAGGACAAACGCTGCTACGTTCAGCACGAATCCGAACTTCCCACGATGACCACTTGAGAAATAATGTGATGAATGATGATACCTAGATTGCTGCTGGTGGTCAGTACATCATTAATTGTCACGCTTGTTCACACAGCTGTGTCCACAGGTAAGTGTTGTTCGCCTTATGTTACGAATCACAATAAAGATTGGAAATTAACTTGCTATGGCGAACAGTTACAGATAGCCTGTGATCTCAGCAAGCTTGTCGTCCTTCACAATGCTCAGTTTGGATTTTTCAAACAGATTATCGGAAGAAAAAACTTGAACGTATCGTGTATTGCCCAGCAGCGCGGGGACTGCTGGATTGATGTCACTCCATCAATGTCTAGGCTGTGTTCCGGATATTCTTCGTGTACTACAGATGTGCAATATTCACTGGAGTTACCTCTTGACGCTATCGCTAGAGAATGTTCAACTGAGACAGCAGGTTTCTCGAAACCATCATTGTTCGTCGAATACAGCTGTGTTTCAACCAGTAAGTTTTCAGTAATTGGCACAAAGCATGCGCAGAATTATTGAAGTTTATTGCTTTGGTAATAAGCTCAAAAATAAGAAATTTCTTCAGGAGGGTTTTTGTAAGATATCGCGAACCGCTTTCTAGAGAGGAACTCAATGTCCGAACTTTCATCACGTGAGCCACGTATTAACGTACTCGAATGTCTGCTGCTGGGTCACGAAAACCATGTTTGTGCACCCTTACAATGTCTGGCATGTCCTTGTACTTGTGAGCTCTTGGAAACTCCGTCAGCGAATGCTGCAGGGATATTCTTCACCAAAAATCTTGCTACCCTTACCTGCATCCTTGACACAGAACACGCGTGGGGTTGAAAACTGTACCGGAATAAAGACAGAAAAGTTTTTAACTGAACAGGACCGGGTATGGTAGGTACTTGACCGTAGAGACATCTTGGGATAACCACCTATGCCACCTATTTGCACCTCCCTCATTGGGGTAGAAGGAAAGGCTGTCAGGCCGAACTACTTGCTCATTTCGTTGGAAACTAAGAGCTTCTCAGTGGACATCTTCACGAGGAAAATATCAGAGAAGGAAAGCAGGCCGAACTACTTGCTCATTTCATTGGAAACTAAGAGCTTCCCAGTGGACATCTTCACGAGGAAAATACCAGGCTAAACTAAAAGGCAGCTTACTCTTAAAGAATAGGCGAATGAGCTACTCTTCCAATCCACCACCGACAAAGTGCGTTACGTCATCAACGCTCCACACAATCGGAGAGGTATCCACTACACTGTTATCAACAGTGCAGCATTGAAACACACAAGCAAAACTCCCTCACAGTAAGCTTGTGCAGGTGTCGACAACTTCTTGGATGGGGAACTCGTTGCGCCACTGACAGAGTTGTTCCAGAATCTCTTGAACCCCTTTGAAATCTCAGCGTGTTGGAAAAACGGAGTCATCGCACCCACGGGAAAATCCTGCCAACAGCAGATCGAGAATTGTGCTCTCTATTGTGCCGAAATCCATGGTAGTGTTTGTCTCTGATGGGCTACACGCATGTGTAGTGTCTTTGGAAGTCTTATTTGGCTTTAGGTGCAAAATATTGAGTCTTTAGCCTGGAACATTTATCTGGATTGGGTGTGGGAGAATGTTACTTGTCTGCTTCGCAAAGGCCTTCGATTGTTTTAAACTGAACGCCCCACTAAAAGAGCCGGCCATCTACGATGTGTGCATTCTTTTCTGAACTAAGCCAGCTGTTACGCGTAACTCCTATTAGCTGCTCTCTGCGACAGCCGAACCATATTTATATCCCTGTTGACAAATGCGGTGTACCGCAAGATTGCATGCTAGAGCTCACACCATTTCTGAGCTTTACCAACGGCACCCTAGTGATCCTTCAATACTATTGTACTTGGTTTGTGACTCCGTGGCGATTAGGTTATTCAAAAGAGAGTGCTGATTTAGAAAAAAAAGTCAAATCTTTCCAATGTTTAGAGGCCTTCAGCAGCATAATTAGCTACCAGGTAAGTATTTGACCTCCACAGCCATTACGCGGAGTGCTCAAGATTGCTTCACTTT